GTCTTGCGGCAAAGACACTCCGGCCGAGTTGGCGCCGGGGCGCCGCGGGACTCCGGGCCGAGCGGACGCCCCTCTCGGCCGTCGCCGGCAGCCCGCCGGCCCTCACTTCGGGGACGCGGGTCCCTCCTGGCCGGCCACCTCGGTGAGTCTTACCGCCGCAGTGAGGGGCGCCGACCGCCTCCTCAGAAGTTTCTGCTCCTCACCAAGGGCCCGCGGGTGGGGTCCACTCCCGGGGGCGGGCGGTCGCGGAGCTTTGAGGCCGGGGGTCCCGGGCTCCCGCACCGTCCTTTGGGGGAGTTTGCGCTCGTCCAGATGAGGCGTCTGGGGAGCCGGACCCGAGAGGCAGGGAGCCGCTGATCTGCGGGTTTGGGGCGGGAGGAGGGGGCAGCTTCCACCCTGGGTTCCCCGGGACAAGCTGCAGAGCAGAGGGCCGGGCCGACTCCGCTGCGTCCCCGGGCTCTGCGCCCCCGACACTCTTCCCGCGCCTCGGGGACGTCCCCACTCCCGTCTCGCCCACCGCTGCGCGCCTGAGCGGTCTCCAGCCGAGGTTCTCTTTGCCTCCACCTCAAGCTTCGGGGACACCCGGCCCCGCCGTCGTGGGGTAGGGGGGAGAGCAGGGAGGGTCCTGAGCTCCAGGAGGTAGAGACCCTGGATCGGGGAGAAGGCGGGGAGGCAAACCACGGGTGTGGTCTGCAATCGAGGGTCCGGAGGAGCTGGGGCAGGGATGCCAGGGGGTGCAGGCGCCCCTCACCTCTTCCAAATCTCATGACTCAGCAGACCTAGGACGTCCCGTCGCGCTGCAGCCCTCCCCCGCGCTGGGCAGCACTCCCGCCACCCCGCAGCTCTCCCCACACTGGGCAGCCCAGCCCTCCTCCCTGCTGGGTACCCAGGCCCCAGACGCCCCTCCCCCTCTCTGGACCCCTATCATTTACCCCCACCTCCGCCTCTGTTCCTGCCCCAAATCTGGGCACAGAGTGGTTATTTTTTAACTCCAGAGACATGGCTTATCCCTTCTCCTTCCCCATTTTCATCCCCACATGCCACAGGTGCGGCAAGGACACCCCCCGCCCCGGCCCATGGTGTGGGGGGCACCAAAGCCTGGTTTCTCCCTCTGTAGCACACCCTCTCCCCCGTCAGGGAGAGGAGAGCTGCTTTCCCTGGTGGTGGCAGAGATACAGGAGCGCAAGGACAAGGAGGCGCTGACCCAGGACGGGGCACTGCAGTGAGGAGAGAGGGCTCCCCACCTGGAGTGGGGTGGACTGGGGGACAGAAGGACCTTAGGATCTGGGGACAGTCAGAGAGAGGAAGGTGGGCTAGGGTCTGACGGGGAGCTGGAGGGAGCCCTCCCCAGCCCCGCTGCCCCCCTGAGGGGAGGTTCCCATGTGTAACAGCGTGTCCTCCTTCCACGGAACCGGCCCCCAGGAACCTGGCTATTTCATCAGAGGGTGTGACCGTTAAGAGCAAGGCACCCTTAACCCTCCCAAGTCATCTCCCCCTGCTTAGGGCTACGTCTGACCTCCAGGCTGCATCTCTGTTACCCTAGAGAAGCCAGAGGGAAGAGCCGTCCCCAGGGCCCCTAAGGCCCAGCCCAGGGGCCAGTGGGAGGGGCAGGGCAGCTCTGATGCAGTGGGACGTGCCTGGTGTCCTGGTGAGCCGCAGCCTGGCAGGCCCTGCAAGCTGCAGCATGGGTCTGGGCACCCAGGTGAGTCAGTGCCAGGAGTCCTGGCCAGGCACGTGGCAGCTGCCCAGAGAGCTCGGCCTGGGCCCCTGCCCTCCAACGACCCTGGGGAGTGACCAGAGCTGCGGGGTCCTCTCCCTGGGCTCCTCTCCTCTGGGGACTAGCCTCTGCCAGGTTGGCTCTCAGGCAGATGCCCCAGGGGGGCTTAGCTTTTTCTGGCACCTGTTAGGCTTAAGGTTCGCATGCTCCCCTTCTCCAAGAAGGAGCTGGGAGGTTCTGGAAAGCTGAAGCAGGGGAAAGAGATAAGTGTTCCACGTCTAGCCTCATGTGGACCTGGCCCCCATCCCCGGGAGGAGGAGCCCAACTACTCTGCTGAGAGTTTCGTCCAGCAGTCCAGGACTTTTTTTTAAGACAACAGCTTTTAGGTTGAGGGGGCGGGTTATGCAAATACAACTTTCAGTGTTTCAGCTTCAGGGTCTGCTGCCCACAGATCAGGACCGGGAAAGAGAAAGGTGCTGGTGTTTCCCCACAGAAGAGCTCGCAGCTGGCTTCATCTGAGTGCTGCTGGCTCTATCTCCGGGCATAGCACGTAGCTCGTTGCGCACCTGCGGGGGCAGGGAGACCCTTTCTGGAGGTGGGGCCGGACTCCCTGACCTTACACTGTGGCCTTCCGCCCTCAGGCGGCTTCAGGCAGATGCCACAGGGCTGTCCCTGGCGTGGCAGAGACCTGCAGGAGTCCCCACCCTGTCCTCTCCAGGCCGGCACGCCCCACCCCAGGCACGCCTGACCTCTCGTGCCCCTTCATGCTCTCCCCGGGCTCTGATGTCTCTCAGCTGGGACCCCTCAGAGGAAGCAGGCGGAACAGCAGACCGGCTGGGAGTTCGGGGGGATGGTTAGGATGGTGGGAAGGAGGCTGGGGCTCTGGGGCTGGGAGAGTGGCTCATCGACCCCTCCCAGGCAGAGCGCCCCCTCCCTGGGCAGAATGTCCTCGTGGGTGGTCGAAGGCTGTGGGAAAGGAGAAACTGTTTCACCTGGCATTGCAGCTGGGTCGTTGGACTGGGTCGTTGGATGTTCCAATGTCAGGTCCAGCTACAGCTGGGCTTGCTTTTCATGAGCCAGACAACTCAGGGGTCAGGGTGATGTGGATATGCTTTCCGAACCGAAACGGCAGCCACAGGGAACAGCTGTGGGTGTTTACTCGGTACAGGGAGATGTTAACGTAGGAAGCAGGCATGCATATCAAGTCACTACAGTCATGTCCGACTCTTTGCAACCCTATGGACTTGTAGCCCACCAGGCTCCTCTGTCCATGGGATTCTCCAGGCAAGAATACTGGAGAGGGTTGCCACGCCCTCCTCCAGGGGATCTTCTTGACCTAGGGATCGAAGTCGACTCTCTTATGTGTCCTGCATTGTCAGACATGTTCTTTACCATTAGTGACACCTGGGAAGCCCAGAGGCTGGGAGCGCTACAGACCTGGGTTCAGATCTCCAGGCCGCGAATTACAGAGCATGACTTTATCAATTCAGCCAGTGCTTACTGGCGAGGTCTGCCCTGTGCCCGGCTCTGTCCCGCTCACTGTGACACCGGTGTGAACACAGCACACGGTCCCCGGCCAGCTTGGACTTTGTGTTCCAGGGCGGAGGCAAGTTCCTCAGCCTCTCTGCGCAGCAGTTTCTGTGTCATTCCGCCTTTAGTTTTTGAGAGTCTGTTCTGTGCTTGGCGCTGGGAACAAACAGACCTGGTTGCTGCCTTCATGGCACTTACAGGCCAGTGAGTAACTCAGTTAGACAGATAATTACATGGGTGATTAACCACAACCATGACGGGTGTGAGGGGAGCACACAGGTTGCTTGGAGAGCATATAATAGGGTGACCTGACCCGCTCTGGGGGGTCTCATCTGTAAAACAGAGCTAATGACACTTGGCCACACGGTAAGTAAGCTCTCAGTGAGTGGTGACTGTTAACACGTCCCACCGGACAGATAGAATCCTGAATTCCCTACATGAACCATCATTGCACAGGCACGCAGCGGGCACTGCTCCTCCACTGGTCAGGGGAGCTGGGGTCCAGGCCCACATCCCCTGAGCAGGAAGCCCGTGGGCTCCTTGGAGGAGAGTCCTGTCGCAGGTGTTGGTCTGAGGCACTCACGCCGGCCGTGGGCGACTGGTCAAAGTCTGCCCTCAGTCGCCCCGTCTGCTGAATGGAGATAAAGCTCACGTGGGTGACACCGGCTCTGGGGAGGATTAAACGAGCTAATTCCTGTAGTGTGTTTGGAACAGTGCGGAGTGTGGCGGAGCCAGCTCAGTGCCTTATCATTATCAAGTTGCTTCTGCACACAGACCAGACTCTGGGTTCCCCAACTGAGGGAAGCCCACCCCTCACCCCCGGCTTTTCTTCAAAACTCAAGAGAAGGAGGGCAGCTGTCACTTGCTCAGGGGCCATTCCAGCGTCTCACCCCTCCAGCTTACAGCCTTCCCAGCTGTGTCTTACCAGAACTTAATTTCTGGGAGCGGCTTGTCCCAGAATCCTTCATTTTCACCCCTGCACTGATGGTTCGGGGGTGGCCAGAGTGATGGTAAATTTGGATCCTTGGCCAGTCACTGTGAGTCTGGACTGCTGGAGGGAGCCCCTGGCTGCCAGCCCCTCCCTTGAAGACGTCTGAGCTTCAGCCAGGTGTCCAAAGTTACCCATCAAGAAGGACCCCCAAATGCAAGGGCCACAGAGGGGTCCTGAGAGCTCCCTCCTTAGAGCACCTCCACTGTTGCCCACCTGTCTGCCTGGAGACCATCTGACCAGATACAAGGCAGGGGCCAGCCCTGACCGCTTAGGAACATGGGGCATCAGTTTCTGGGGCCAGTATAATGTCCACTGAACCTCAGGGGTTTGCTGCCACTAGGCAGCCCCAGACTGGGGGTCCGGCTGCAGTTGTAAAGTCAGGGCAGGTCGTCTCTGACTGCCGGTCAGTCGGGCCTCGGAGCTCAGCATTCCCTGCTGGGGACACGGAGCTGGGTGCCCACCTGCTGCTTCTGGTTCCCCCTCCCTGAGTCCACCCCCACGGTGAACAGCGTGCAGCTCCGTCCCTGTGGCCCTCAGGGCGGCCTCCGCAGCCCTGTTTCACAGTGAGAGGACAGACGCCCAGAGAAGTTCTGTGACTTGCTCAGGATCTCAGAGTACCTGTTCCGGTCGGGGGGGGGGGGCGGGGGGGCGGGCGTGGCTCTGGGCCCTCAGATCGCTCAGAACTTTCCTCCCGTCAGTCGCCCCTCCCCATCCCACAGCTCCACCTGCACGGGTCCTCAGGGAGGGGAAGGAAATCAGGCATCAGACGCCTGATGGAATCGCTGGAATTGAGTCAGCCTCCTCCCGTGCTTCGGGGATTTTGTGGGACTGGCTGTGGGCCTTTGGCAGCCTCAGGAGCGCCTGAGCTGAAGGGGCGGTGGGGGGAGGCGTGGTGGGTGCACCAGAGGGGTGCTGGGGCCCGGCCTCAGCAGCCTTTTCTGACGGCCTTGGCACCAGAAGCCTTCACAAGGTCGTGATTTGGTAATTACAAGCTTCCTCTGACAGCCAGGATATAGGTCTTCGTGCACGTGTGTGTGTATATACATGTGTGTGTATACACGTGTATGCTTGCACACCTGGCGCTCATGCGTACTGGGGCTCTGGGGACCGAGAGGGAGCTGGGGTCTGGTTAGTGTCTGTCTTCCCCTCTGTCCCATACAGGTCCAAGAAGCCGGGATGCTCATGGGACTCACAGCCCTGCTCCCAGGCTGGCGGGGGCGGGGGGGTGGGGGGACTGGGGATGGACCCCCCACCGGTCCCACCGCGCCCCTTCCTTCTGCTCCCAGTGTGGACAGACTGAAAGGGCCCAATGGTGCTGGGAGGCTGGGCCTCACCACGCCCTCTCCAGCAGCCTGGGGGTGCCCACAGGGCGGGGGGCGGTGCTGGACCCCGAGACGCTCCCTGCCCAGGACAGCTGCCCGCCAAAACCAGGTTCCTGAGGGGTGGGCAGCCCTCCATCCCCTCCACAAGAAGCCAGGAAGCCTGAGCCCCTCACCCGGCCCTCTGGGACCAGGGTAGGACTGTGGCCAGCTGGGGGGCAGCTCCCCTCAGGTGTTTGTGGGGAGGACACCTCTGTGTGGGACAGGGCCCTCTCCGGCCACGGAGAGCCCTCGCAGGGCTTCCAGAACTGGGCTGAAGCAGTGGCCCCGGGGAGTCAGCAGTTAGGGAATATTGCAATTAGCGTGTAACTCCCCCATTCCATGCATTTGTATGGAGTGTAGTGGCTGCAACTGGTGCTAGGGGGGCACTCAGCCCTCCCGCCCACCCTGCAGGCTGTGCGTGAGGACCATAGTCCCCCAGGTATCCCAGGCGTCTTGCTTGCCTTGGCGCAGGTGGGCATGGGGCAGGCTGCCCAGTGGTCAGCTGTGGAGGGAGGGCAGAGTCATAGCCGACAGGCGCGGGGAGGGAAGGCGTGAGCAGGCTGCCCCTCCTGATGACTTTGCTCTAAACTGATGGCCGCGGGTCGGGCGCCTCCTCCCTTTGGAAGCTGACCCGGGGAGCTACTTTCCTGCTGCTGCAGGGAGGAAGCCCTCTGTGAGCTCCCCTCAGCATCAGCCATGTCCCCTGACCTGCCTGTCTCAGGCTGGGGGCCGGGCCCACAGGTTCCCTCTTCCCACATGGAGGGGCGGGTCGTGCCTGAGGGGTGAGGGGCTGGGGGCTCGGACCCCGGAAGGAGGCCGGGGGCCTGACACCCAGCTTCCCGCCGGGAGCCCAGGAAGGCGCAGGTGTGGGGTCCACGTGGATGGGAAGCAGGGTGAGGTGCCGGGCACAGGCCTGCTCTCCCAGTTTGCTTCTCCCCCGGGGAGGAGAGGCGCCGCTTTAATGAGGCCGCCCTGGTTCTGAATCAGGCCTGGCCTTGCAGGAGACGGAGGGGAGGCACGGTGGGAAGCTGGGTTCTCTCACTGGTGCTGGGCACTGTGCTGCTGGGGGCCAGGGGCAGGGCAGCCACCCCAGGTCTGCGCTTCCCGGGGAGACCCTGCCCGGGGGGCACAGGCAGTGAGAGCAGCCAGTCCACTCCTGCAGAGCCCGGGAGGCACCCCGGCTCCCCCTGGGGTGTGGAGGGGGCGAGAAGGCCGCCCAGTCTGTGCCCCACGCAGGGTTGCCTGTCCTGCAGCTGAGATCTCGTGTGCGGCTGGAGTGGATGGCCCATGTGGGGACCAGGCTCTCATTGCGAAGTGGAGACTGACAGGCGGGGTATGGCCTGGGGCACCAGTCCATGAACTCTTGGGACAGCAGTTCTCAGCGTGGTGCACCGACCCGGGGGGCCCGGGCCTCGGGGCTGAGATGCAGAGTCGATGCTCTAGCCCCGGGGGTGACGGAGCTTGGCCTGGCCCTCCTGCGAGGCCGAGGGCCCACTCCTCTCTCTGCGCCATGAGCCAGGTGCGGGCGGGCCCGCGATGGGCCCTGCATCTGCACAGCTGCGGCTGCAACTCAGCGCCCTGGGCTCCAAGGCGGGAAGGACGGGAAATCTTGCCTTCTGTTCCATGGCTTTCGCGCCTCTGGCTCTGAGAGGCTGCGGTCAGATCACCCTGGGAAGATGAGTGGAGCGTGGGGCCAGGAGGCCTAGAGCCGCTAGAAGGGTGGCCTCCGGGTGAGAGTGAGCGCTGGACCAGAGGCCCCACGTCCTATTCCTTGTGGTCACGTGGGGTGAGCGACCACCCTGGCACGTGGCTGCTTCCTGGTCAGCCGTCCTGGGCTGCCCACCAGAGTCCAGGAGTAGGGGGAGACTGAGGCAGGAAAAGACAGCCCCTCCCGTGAGCGGGACCAGTGGGGCAGTGTGTCCTTTGCTGGGCGTGGGTGTTCAGACCTGGATGTGCTCCACGGGTTTTCCAGTTGCAGCGGGAATTCTTTGCTCTCTCAGCTCTGCCCCATTCAGCTCATCCTCCCCGTGCCCCTGCGATGACTGGAGGTGGCCCTGGGCTGGACCAGTGGGCAGAGAACTCAGGAGTGATTGGAGCCTCTCTAGGGTCACTTGGGACTCCCAGGGCTCGAGTTCTGTGGCCCTGAACTCTGGTCTTAAAAAGATCCGCGGTGCCCCTCTCAGCCCATGCGGCCTGGCTTCCCTTTCAGAGAGCATCTCCCTCTTGTCTGGGTTTGGGACACCTCCAGGCGTGTGACTCAGAGTGGGCAAGATCCATAGTGCCACAGACAGCGCGTCACTCCTGCTGCAGTGTGGGCAGCCTGCCCGTGGGCCCTGGTCCCTCTTGCTCCCGTTCCTTGGAAATCGAGGATGAACTTGACCCTGAGGCTGTACCTTCAGGCCGCAGCTCCTCCTGCAGTTGATCGGGGCTGCGCGGCTGAGAGGCAGGGGCTGGCGGGAGGCGGTGGGACGGTGCGTCCGCGTCAGGACTTGGGCCTGCCCTGGTGACGCATGCCTGGGGAAGGATGAGGGGAAAGGCACATATGGAAGTGTGTGGACTCATGCAGTCCTTTCAGCAGCAGGCTGGGCTTGCCTGGAGCAGGGGCCTCTCAAAGCACCGCTCAGCCTCAAGAATCCCTTCTGTGTCCCAGGCCTCGGGGGTGGGGGGAGCGTCCTGACACTGGCAGGCCCCTGGCCTGCAGCCCCGCACCCATGTGCCCCCGGCCAGCCCCAGGCCTGCATTCACTCACGCCCCAGGAGTGTCCTGGCACCCTGCCAGGACTACGCGGGCCGGCCCTGCCCTCAGAGCCCTCAGGTCTGAGGGAACTGGGCGGTAAACAAAAGAAGGTCACTTCGTTACGATTATGGTAACTGGTGTGGAGGAAAAGCTGCCCAGTGTCCCAAGGGTTTACAACGGGGGCGCTCAGCACGTGGAGTCGTGGGGCCCACCCTGACGCATGGCCGTGGAGGGGCCTTCTCCGCGGACGGGGGTCCCACGGGCACCGGCGTGGTCTGCTCTGCCTGTGCGGCAGCGGGCGGCCTGCAGGATGGGCAAGGGGGTCTCTGTGTTGGGGGCAGGCTCTGGTGTTAGAGGGGCTGGGTGTCACCTCTGCATGGTTCCCAGGTGGCCTCCGGCGCTCACTTTCCCTCTTTGTCACTGCTCCTTCCTCTGTAAAATGAGGAGGTTGGGTGAGGAAATCTCGCTGGCCCTTCTCAGAGCCCCAGGAAAGTGTCTGTGGTTTGCAGAGGCCAGACTGCCTTTCGTCCCCTGAGGCTGGAACAGGGATTCGGGACGAGGAAGACTCCGTGACCCTTGCTGTGGAGAGCAGGGGATGGAGGCCAGGCTGGGCGCCCGGGGTTTCCCAGGTGGCCGGCGTCAGAGGTGGAGACGGACAGGGCCAGCCCACGGGACTCAGGGTAGACATCAGGCAGGTGATCAGGTGGGTGAAGTGAGGGCGTTGGACAGACGCTCCAGAGAAGCAGAGAAAGAGCCTTTCATGGAGAGTGTTTGTGCAGAGGCGGCGTGGTGGATGACCTTCCAAGGTCTCCCCCTCAGACAAGTCTGTGGCTCCCTCCTCGCCTTGCCGCTGATGTCAGCGCTGTCTGGGTGTCTCTTGGAAATGAGTTTTTGGGCATAAACTGTCCTCAGTTCGCATCCCTTGATGACACATGTGGCTCACTGTGAGTTGTCATGCTCCATCACATTGAGCCCAATTACACCTTTGCTCTCTTGTCCTGCTGTAATAGAAATATGGCTTCTGAGAAGTGTATTAGTTGCTGGTGGTGTGATTGCTGGGGAGGCTGGGCTTGGGGGTGAATGGAGGCCAGGGCATTTCATGCTTCAGACCCAGAAACGAGGGCAGGAGACAGACTCCTCGGGGAGCCCTGGGACAGTGCTCTCCCTGGAAACGGGGGCAATCAAACACCCTCTCCAGGGACCTGTGTGTCCTTGGGCTTTCTTGTTGTCATTACCCGTGGCCACAGGTTCTCCATGTGTATGTGGGTGGGGGTGGCAGTCCGGTGAACCCCCAGCCCACTTCCAATGAGGGAGACTCTCCATGTCTTTAAAAACGATTCACGAGGTCAGAGAGGCCATAGGATTAACCTGACATGTGAAGTATTTCAAGTGGATGCAGAAGGCGTTTCTGAAGAGAAATGTATTTGGACATTATGACAGAAGACCGAGCAGGTGGTGAGACGGCCTTCCTAGAGGAGGGGCTGGGCCGGGGTAGGTCTGGAAAGGGTAGGCTGACCAGCGGGACTGCCGTGGTGCCAGGGTCTCTGCGGGTGTGGGGGTGGCCGTGTGGGGGCAGCCGAGTGCAGGCGGGTCACTGCGTTCAGTGAGGGGGAGGGCGATGCGGGGTGGAGGGGCTTAGCAGGGCGATCAGCGCCAGGTGTGGTCTTGGGGTAAGGGAGTGTGTGTGAGAGTCAGGTCTGCAGGAGGCCTGCAGGCAAGTGCCCCTTCCACCCATTCTGCTCATTTAAACCCAGGAGGCTGGCGTCTCCTGCTGAAGCAGCTCTCTTTTGGGTGTGGTCCGTTCACAATTGCAGAATGTTTGCCCTGCACAAGCCACCGTCACTCCACCTTAGGGCTGAAGGGAGCCGAGAGCCAGGCCCCTGAGGAATATGGCTTCTCCGTCTTTCAGCAGGGACTCCAGTCTGGGGTTCTGGATGTACTCAGCCCCCTTCTTTTCAACACAACCCTGATATTTTTCCAAATGTTCCCAGTGAATCTCAGGGTTTATGCTAGAAACACATAAACCTAATCTGAAGTTACTGTGCCACTAACAGAGAATGGATGCTCAGTGCTGTAATGTTTTGACCCCTTCCCTCACTGGACTTCAAGAACCCACAGGAGGGTCATAGTCCTTGGACCCTTGGTTCTGGACTTTGGACGTGTGACCTTGAAAGATCCTGACACCTGACCTCCAGCCTCTTGACAAGACCCTTCCGAATCGCCCCACATCCTTGAAATGCCCTCCTGTCACCCACGTAGCCTCCACATTTCTCTTGTGAATTCCTCCCCCTGAGGCTCACCGGGTCAGTCCCGTCTTCTTGCTTTTAGCTGCTCTGAAAGGATCTCCGCCTCTCAGATCAGGTGGCCATGCCCAGTTCAGGTGATGAGCAGGTTGGGAGGGTGCACTTCCCTGTCTCCGTGCTCCAGGACAACTTTCTGTTCATTTGTTGTTTTAAATCTATTTTTTTTTTTAATCGGAGGATAATTGCTTTACAGTATTGTGTTGGTTTTTGGCATATATCACCATGAAACAGCCATAGGTATATGTATGTCCCCTCCCTCTTGAACCTCCCTCCGCTTTAAAAAAATTATTTATTTTTAATTGGAGGATAATGATAGAAGGATGGAACCCCCCAAGGCACCTCCCGAAATGCTAAGGCCTCGGGGTGCTGAGAACACGGGCCACAGTGTGCGGCGGTTCAGCACCATGGACAGAGCCCCGCGCAGCTCCCTTGAAGGATGGTCTGGCTGGCCGCGTCCTAACCATCTGGGGAGACAGAGGCTGGGTGAGGGGAAACCTGGTGCGGTGGGCACTGTTCCCACCCTTTGAGACATGGCCATGCCTCCTTCTCCCCCTGGGTCCTTCTATTTACAACAGAACGGGGCGATGGACTGCAAGCACCGCACAGTGAGCCCCAGTGTCTCCATCGCCTTCACCACGAGGCTTTTAACAGCAGCATGGCAGGCGTGGCCCGGGTTGGTGGGCAGTTGGCTTGTGGGTGTTGGGAATACACGACCTCAGGTCCTGCAGCCTGGCTTTGGTCTCCCAGCGTCAGTGACTTGTTGATTGTCTTTGTTCTGATGCCTCATCACCCATTCCTCTCGTGCAGCGTCCAGCCTGGGGTGGTGGGAGGTGCCAGCTTTTGTGGTGGGTGCTGTCCCATGGGGGTTACCCGGGGCCCCTGCCCTGAAGTGAGGCTGGAATAGGGAGAGGGCTGCATAGGGATTCGAGATTGGTGGGTGAGATCAGGTGATGGAGCTGTAGGGTGGAGGCAGCTGTAGCTGGGAGGAGGCGTGAGTGGGCAGGATGCGATGGGACCCAGTGCCAGGGAAGGTGGGCAGGGACTGGCATTGCTTAGGACTCAGAGGGCCCTGGGGCAGGGTGGCACTGCTTTCCAGCCTCTCGATGCACCTGGACAGGGTTGTTCCTCCGCTTCCAGAGCTCAGGACACCCTTGGGTGGAGGAAGCCTCTCCTGCCTCTGTCCCTTCCCCTCCACCCTCCCACCCACAGTGCCTTCTGGACCACCGTATGCCCTCCAAAACTGATCATCCACACCCTCCCGGCTTCCTGTCCAGGGCACATGGCTAGGCCAAAGGTCTAATGTTCACCCCTTGAGTTATGAGAGACAGCTCAGCTGCCACCCTCCTCAAGGGGCCACTAGGACCCTCCAGGATTTACTTAGCAAAAGCAAAAACCCAGGCCGCACTCAGGCCACCTGCTGTCTCCCCTTGGGTGCCCCTCCCCTCACACTGCACTCAGAGATGCCAGGGGCCTGCTTGGGGTCCCTGCCACCCAGGCCTCCCCTCCCTGGCCCCTCCCCCAGACTGTGTGTCGGGCAGAGCTTCCCCGTGCCATTCATACCAGGTGGTCCACTGCCTTCCTCCCGATGGGCAGGACCAGATCCAAGAGTGGAGCGTGCACGTCTTGGCAGACAAGACCAGTGTCTGTGTGGACACAGAGTTCTTGTGGCAGGAAAGGAGGCCTAGGGATTCCCTCTGGCACCGGGAGAGCTTGTTGCCCAGGTCCAGTCTGGAAAACCAGTGCCAAACAGGGAGGTGGTTCTGGGGAACGTGGCCAGGCTGGGGGAGCAAGCTGGGGCCCCCGCCTCACTGTGGGAGCTCCAGGCTCTGCCCTAAACCTGTTCCCCATCTCATCCCCTCCGGGGCCCCGTGAACAACAGTGAATCCATGGAGCCTGACTGCAGCCCACTCTCAGGAAGACAGGTCGGCAAGGACTTGGGCTTGTTGGGTGTAAATCAGCGTCCTGTTTGGCACTGGTCCCTGGAAGATGCTGAATGACTGTTGACCGGATGAATGCTGGGCTGGGGGTCCTGTCTGCGGGCACTCAGCTGCGTGCTGTTCGAGGGACCCTGGTGCCCGGCAGGTTGGGTCCTGAGGGCCTGTCCTTTTTGTCTGCAAGAGTCCAGGGTTCTGTGACCTTTCCTGGGGGAAGGCACCTTCAGGAAGAGGCTGGGGCTGCACTGGCAGTGGCATCTTTCTGGGGACACGGAGCTTGGGACCTTCTGCCCAGACACGTCTGCCACCAGACATGCCTGTCGACCTTGGTAGAGAGCAGGTCTGTGTGCTTCTCGATTCTTGGAAATCCTTGTCAGGAGGCTCCCGAGTGCTGGCCTCAGCGTGGCCAGTGCCTTGCTGGCCATCTGTTCAGCAGGGTGACAGCCATCTGGATACTGTGTCAGTTTGCAGAGGTGGGCGTCCATGGGACCCCGGGTGGGAGAGACGACTGACTGCCTAGGAGGACGGGAGGTGGGGTGGCTGTGGGTCCCCGCTCCAGCTGCTCCCACGCTGTGGGCCTGGCTCTGGCCCTGACGGGGATGAATAATTGATGGTGACTAATGGATCGTGGCCACTGCATGAGCTGCTCCACGGGGACCAAGCAGACTGGTGTAATCAGATGCTCTGCTGCCCTGCCAGTGGGTGTGGGTCTCCCGGCTTCCCTTGACTCTCAGAACCCTGGGGTGGAGGGTGCTTCCCAGAGTGAAGGGGGCATCTTTCTCAGGGTGAGCTTTCTGGGGGAGGGGCAGGACCCTCAGTCCTCAATTCTGGGGACTGGGCTTGCCTGCTTTGTGGGGTGTCTCTACTGCCCGACATTTGGAATGCTGGCGAACTTCAGGGGAGGCAGCAGGCAGCCCCGGGGTGTCCAAGAGGCAGTGGGACAGTGATGGTGGACAGGGGGACACATGCCTGCCCCCCGATTCTTAGAACAGTCCTGGAGGGCAGACTCATCTCACCGACGAGGAAGGACTCTTGGAGGAGTGAGGTGATGTGCCTGAGGTCCTGTGTCTGGTGGGTGGTAAATGATGT